TCTGCAAACTTCTGAAGCCTGCAAGGTGCATGTCGCTAACGCTCCTGTTCGCAAATGCATGCGTTGTTCTGGAGGGGTCGCTTCTGCTCACGTGTTGCTCGTGCGCGTGGCCCGGCTGTCCTCAGTCTGGCTGCTCATGGTCTGCTCCTCCTCCACGTCCCTGCACCTGCTGTGGTTCGCGTGTCTCCACTGCTTTCCTCCTCTGCGGGCTCTTCTGCGGGCTGCTCCGCGGGGCCCCTCCGCGGTTCTGTGCTGCTCGTTCCTCGTGGTCTGCTGCCGCGCGCAGACGGTCTGGCGGTGCCGTGCGTGTCCCTGCCTCCGATTGGCGGTGCCGCGTTGTCCCGTTGCTTTTCCCAAGTCTCCTGGCATGTGAGTACAGTGAGTGTGCTGACCGCGGACGGATTAATCCCGGAGTCTAGGCTGCAGGCGGCTGGTTTTTGCCCTACGCACTTGACTGCAGGCGTCAGTTTTCGCCCCGTGCTTGGTCTGCAGGCTCCGTTTTCACACGTGTTTGAGCTAACTGAGGGGCAATGCATATTAAATGGCATCAATCTCTATTGTCTGAGGGATATAAGAGGAGCAATGTGCATTAATTCAGATTCATGTTCTGCCACTCGCAGTAAAACCACGTTGGAAAAAAATGTGCAAAGACTACCCATCGTGCTCCAGACTGTACACACAGAGCTCTTGCCACGGCGCCATCTTTACAGCATTAATCTCATTACTCGCAGGTCACTATTGTTAAATGAATGGATTTAAATTCGTCTATCTGCAGGAGGAAAGAGGGGCCATGCATTTAAATAGCTAGGTCACTAGTATTAAATTGGGTAACTAAACTGCAGTTGTTGCATTTTGAAAGTGCAGCAGAAAGAAAAGGGCCCAATGTGAATCTGCAATGGGTTTGAAGTGGTGTTGGAGCTAATGAACGTGTGGAACAGTGATCGTTCATGCGTCTCTGCCATAACCAAAGCAGCAAGATGGCTCCAGGGGACATCTGTTATTCGCATGGGAATGTTTCGGATTCGGGTTGATTTATTTCCTCAGGCTGTTAAACAACCATGGGCATGGTTCTCTGACCGCCGCTGCTGCGGTCCCTGCTGCCGTTCCTACTGATGCCTGATCCCGCTGCTGCCTGTTCCTGCTGCTGCCTGTCCCTGCTGCCGCTCCTGCTGCCGCCTGTTCCTGCTGCCTGCTCCTGCTGCTCCTGCTACTACATGTGCCGCTGCTGCTGTTCCTGCTGCTGCCGCTCCGCGGGCTCCCGGGCGGCACCTGTCTCTACGGCTCGGCTCTTTCAGACACGTATGTAACCTGGCTCACAGAGACAAGCGGCGCACGCTGGCGTGACACGTCTGTTGTTCGTATGAATCGCATTGTGGTTCTACTGCTCCTGCTAATGCTGCTTCTGCTGCGTCATACTGCTACCGCTACTGCTGCTACTGCTGCTATTGCTGCCGCTTCATACTGCTACTGCTGCCGTGCTGCTGCTGCTTCTTTTACTTTGACACCTCTCTTCACTTCGCATCCTTCTACTGAAACACTAAACAGCTACAACAATATTCTACTGCTGTGGCTTTGATACAGGATTATTGCTGTTATTATCTACGGATGCTGCAACTGCTGCTGCTACTGCTTGCTGCTTCATACTGCTACCGCTGCTGCTGCTTCGTTTACTTTGCCATCTCTCTTCACCGGCATCTCTTTTACTGAAACACTGAACAGCTACAACAACATTCTACTGCTGTGGCTTTGATACAGGATTATTGCTGTTATTATCTACAGATGCTGCAGCTGCTGCTACCCACTCTCTCAGAAGCTTATCCTGCTTCTAATGGATGCAGCCTGGCTGAGTATGCCGCGCTGCGCCGGACTCGCACCTATGCTCCCAGGGTCGCTTCGGCGGTCATGCTTCATCTCTATACTTTATTTTTCTGATTCTATCAGATGCAGCCGGCCGAGTAGCTGCGCTGAGCCGTCAATCGGACTCCTAATCAAACGCATCCATACCTGTATTCTTCACTCTTCTGATCGCAGGTTCCCCATCATGCTGCCCATCCTGCAGCGGCGCTGAACTCCGGCTCATCTTCCAAGTACATGTCTGCCCTCCTCGCAGCATCTTCCTGCTCGCCTTCTATGGCTTCTCTGCGTAAGCGTTTCACTACTGCTCACTCAACCTTCATGCGGTCCGAGACACGGCTTTCCCGACCATCCTACTATCCTGATTATCTACTCTCCAACCCAAGATTCTAAGCGTAGGGGCGCCTGCAACATCAATGGCCCTCTCCGACATGTCTCTGCCCCTACAGGTCTCCGCCTCTACACGGACGCTGCCCCTTCCGTGGGTTTTGGGGGTTCTTCCAGGACCATTGGTTTGCCGGGCCGTGGCCGCAACTTTCAACCGGAGCATCTCTTCTGCCCTACACGAAATATTTCCAGTGGTCGTGGCCTGCGCGCTGTGGAATCACACGTGGCAGAGAAAGAGGATCTCTGTCACGTGTGATAATCTCGATGTAGTGGAAGCATTACACAAAGGTCGCTCTTTTTCACCCAACATAATGTCCCCTGACCATTTCAACCTTCATCTCAAACATTCAAAAATCAAAGGAGCCTGCAATATAGTAATAGCTCGCTCGGACACATCTCTCTGCCCCTACAGGTCCATGATGCGTTACACTCGCCTCCGCTGCAAAAAGGAGATTTGAACGGACCTCTCTTTCTCACTCCAGACATTCTTCCCATGACAGCAACCTGGTTCAGAGCTCAGCTAAGATCCCTACTGCTCCTCTGTAAATTGTCTCCCCAGCTCTACACAGCTCACTCATTCAGGAGAGGCGCTGCCATGCGCGCGGCCTCGCTGGGGCTCCCCCACACCTCTCTGCAACAGCTGGGGCGCCGGTCCTCTTCGGCCTTCTCCGCCTACATCAGGCCAGACGCGTCCGCCATCCTGGCTGCACAACGGCAACTGGCTTCCTCGTAAGCTCCCAGCAAAGCAATACAAAGCAAAGTAAGTGAACCAATAAGATTCTGGTGGCGGCACGCACTTTAAAGAAACTCTGCTACAGCGTCTGGTATCGATCGTGATGCATGCGCTCACGTCCCAGGCAGCGTCCGGTTGATCGTGATGCGAGCGCTCACGTCCCGGCGCTTAAAGATAACTCTGCTTCAACGTCTGGTATCGATCGTGATGCGAGCGCTCACGTCCCAGGCAGCGTCCGGTTGATCGTGATACGAGCACTCACGTCCCGGCGCTTAAAGGCAACTCTGCCGCAACGTCTGGTATCGATCGTGATGCGAGCGCTCACGTCCCAGTCAGCGTCCGGTTGATCGTGATGCGAGCTCACGTCCCGGCGCTTAAAGGCAACCCTGCTTCAACGTCTGGTATCGATCGTGATGCAAGCGCTCACGTCCCAGTCAGCGTCCGGTTGATCGTGATGCGAGCTCACGTCCCGGCGCTTAAAGGGAACCCTGCTTCAACGTCTGGTATCGATCGTGATGCAAGCGCTCACGTCCCAGTCAGCGTCCGGTTGATCGTGATGCGAGCTCACGTCCCGGCGCTTAAAGGCAACTCTGCTTCAACGTCTGGTATCGATCGTGATGCGAGCGCTCACGTCCCAGGCAGTGTCCGGTTGATTATGATGCGAGCGCTCACGTCCCGGCGCGCAAAGATAACTCTGCCCGTTTTTGGGGATCATGCGTGCGAGCAAGCGCCGCGCTCAACAGAATCTCTCCCGGGCCTGGGGCGCCAAACATGCTCAATCACCAAACTTCTAACTGCATTTTCCCTCTTGGGTCTCTCCAAAGTGAAATGAAGCTCTTCGCGAAAGTTCACTGTGGTAGACCCGGCCACTGCTGCCAGATCTACAAGCCTGCTCATCCTCGACTCATCATACCAGCAAAACGCCCACATCTAATCCACCAATAACCACCAGGACAGCAAGTTAAAAGCCGGAGACACCCACTTCCCAGCCTTCCGAAGTCCGCAAGCCTCCGCCGCCCCACCTCCTCCGTTTCTCATCGAAGCGTGCTTGCCTACTGCCTCTGCCGTCACCAGTGCCTAGGCCCCGGGGGGGGGGATTATGCGCGCGAGCAAGCGCCGCGCTCAACAGAATCTCTCCCGGGCCTGGGGCGCCAAACATACTCAATCAACAAACTTCTAACTGCATTTTCCCTCTTGGGTCTCTCCAAAGTGAAATGAAGCTCTTCGCGAAAGTTCACTGTGGTAGACCCGGCCACTGCTGCCAGATCTACAAGCCTGCTCATCCTCGACTCATCATACCAGCAAAACGCCCACATCTAATCCACCAATAACCACCAGGACAGCAAGTTAAAAGCCGGAGACACCCACTTCCCAGCCTTCCGAAGTCCGCAAGCCTCCGCCGCCCCACCTCCTCCGTTTCTCATCGAAGCGTGCTTGCCTACTGCCTCTGCCGTCACCAGTGCCTAGGCCCCGGGGGGGGATTATGCGCGCGAGCAAGCGCCGCGCTCAACAGAATCTCTCCCGGGCCTGGGGCGCCAAACATACTCAATCAACAAACTTCTAACTGCATTTTCCCTCTTGGGTTTCTCCAAAGTGAAATTGTATTATATTTGTTTTTATGTTATTTAAAATATTTTCTAAATCCTTATGAAAATGTTCCACCAACAACTGTGATGCAGTGATGAACATCTTTGTATTCTCAGAAATGAACTGTATTTAAATGCTATATTTTCATCTTAAAAATTATATATATATATTCTAGCTACTGGTATAGACATAATTAAATAATGGTACAATAGTTGCATAATGTCTTTCACAAATCTGAATGTGAGACCGAGCGACTGAAGCCATTCATAAACATGGCCGACCAATCACTCTCTGCATAGTTGTGAAGTGCATGTACACAGTATTAATAACACATAATTAGAGAAAAGATTGAGGTGTCACATTATTGGAAATTGAAATGAAATGGCTGCCTGTGATAAAGGCTGCATTTGTGAGCCTCGGTGAAGGATGACTTTATCAGAGCACCCTTAACAAGGCCGTACAGTGTTGGTAGCAGGAAGCCCTCTGCCCCGGACCCTCCCCTCTCTGCCCCGGACCCCCCCCCTCCCTCTGCCCCGGACCCTCCCCTCTCTGCCCCGGACCCTCCCCTCTCTGCCCCGGACCCTCCCCTCTCTGCCCCGGACCCTCCCCTCTCTACCCCGGACCCTCCCCTCTCTGCCCCGGACCCTCCTCCCTCTGCCCCGGACCCTCCCCTCTCTACCCCGGACCCTCCCCTCTCTACCCCGGACCCTCCCCTCTCTGCCCCGGACCCTCCCCTCTCTGCCCCGGACCCTCCCCTCTCTGCTCTGGTGAGTGATGGAAACGCCACCAGTACTTGTATCCTGTCAGCTCACGCACATTAAAGAAAGAAATGAGCCCCATGCAGCCTGCACAGGATGATTCAGTCCTCTACGTTCCGATTAATGTCTGTAACAACACCTGCACTTGGAATGGACTCCCATGTATGGACATTACAGATGAAAGGCATTTAAAGCATCATCATTTCACTTTCTCTGGAGGTGGTCCGCCACTCGCCTGGGTCTCCTCTTCTCTGATACTGTTCAAATTGTAGGCTTTATTGATCTCACAATGGAGAAATTTACATGTCACATTTGGCATAAGTAGTATCACTCAAGTTGGCCAAAAGTATGTAAGTAAGTCACACTGAAAAAAGTAATGGTTGTGCTTCCTTAAAACTATTCAGTGTTGTTTACTGAACCCAGCTAAACAGTTAACTGCACTGGTGCCGCATAGGTATTGAAGCTTTTTCACTGATGCAAAGTAAGTATTGAAACTTTTTAAAATAAAAACAAATCTTACTCGAATTATGCTTTTAAAGAGAACTCGTACAGCTCCAGTTATCTTTTGACATGCGCAGTAGAGTGCCATTAGGACATGCGCAGTCGTGCCCTGTAGAGCACATGTCGAGACGGTTGGCCACAAGAAAAACACACGTGCATGGAGTTGCAAACGTTTTAAATCATCTTTTTTTATTCGGAGGTAAGTCTTTTATATGTCATGTAATTGAATGTTGCACGTTAATTAATCGTATTTAAAATCAATTTGCCGTTTTATTTGTAGCAGATGTATGAAGGTCAAAGCTATAGGCTAGTAAGTTTAAGGTAACCAGGAATCCTACATTTAATCAAAAATATCAAATTAAATATTTAGATGCTGTTTATATACTATATTTCGCAAAAAAATGGGGCACAATAAAGTTTGTGCCCCATACGATATATTTACCTAGTAAATTTACCTAGTACTAGTTTTCACAAAGATTCACATTGGGTTAATAAATTCTATATTTAGTGACACGTCATAGCCGTTCGTATTTTTGATTTAAAAACTGTTAAGAACTTTTTTTCTTTTTTTACTGTTAAGAACTGTTAAGAATATTAAGAATATTAAGGGGAAAGTCAGCGAGCATGGCGAGCACACTTGGCAGCTATCTTAGCAAAACGTTGTCAACTCGTTCGTAGCTAAAGCAGGTCTGTACCACGCTAACCTTCAATATTATTTACCCTGAAAAATGTTAACTGTCCCACGGTAACAAACTCAATTTGTTTTATTCGTCTTGTCTTTAGTGGAACCAATGTTTAATTAGTTGCGCGCTTCCGGGTCAAATAATGGGATGGGATTTCCTGTTCGCCTAGCGCTTCTGTAGCAGCTAAACGTCGCTGCAACATGGAGTTATGGCGTGCAAAGAGCCTCTGAGATATGCAATTTGGGTATCGAAATCAAAGACTGAAAGGAGCGCCGGTAAGCCCGCAGTCTGTGCTCCAATTTGCTACGCGTTGCTATGAAAAGCGCAGTTAAGGAGGCGTCTAGGTGATCGACATTTTGTTAGCATGTTGACTTGTGGTTTTGCTGCATTTGTTTTTAAACTTTGTCTTTCGTGAAGGTAGGTTAGTTTGCACACTGACGCGCTACACGTAACAGCTAATGCGCGCACCAGATAACTTCATATAGAGAAAAACACTATTGGGAAGCAGAGCTATTGCCACAGGTAAACACACGCAGGGCAGAATCTGAAACTCGCTCTGGTCGTTGGTACGTTTCTTTGAACTGCTGCAGTGTTGAGACAGATTCCTCAAGTTTCTGCAACGCTACACCAACATGTAGTGTACATTACACGAGTTATTTAATGGATTTAACTTATTTATTATGATGATAGGACTGTTATAAACGTGGACAGAAGAAGCCCTTAAAATATATTCAACTGCTGTTTAGTTTCAAATTGTGCACCTTACAGTGTTAATTATTGGCCTCATTGTTTCTAATTTGCTATTTATTTTAAATATTTCCTTCAATGCTGTTTGCAAATCCTCGTACTTAAAATATGCACTTTGTGTCTTTGTGACATTAACAGTCAAATGGGCATCAAATGTCATTAAAACATTACGTTGTAATAAGAAATTTAGTAATGTGTTTTAATGCTTGCCCAAATAACTTCCTCCTCCTGCCACTCTTAATGAGAGATTGTCATATTACAAGGCACTGCATTTGTTTACAAAAGTGGACATGGTTGAAATCATTTGACATTGAAATACTTTAATTATTGTGAATTTCACTATTTTCATCTTCTAGTCCTTTTGTTTTCACAGAAAAAAAAAGCACTTTTTTGAATTGTCTTCTATTAATTTTTTACAGAATCTCAAAGAAGCTGGAGCAAGCTGCTGCCGTTCATTTGCGTCAGGATTAGTGACTCTTCAGAGGGTTGTTAGAGAGTGGTTCAAGAGCAGGTTTGTTCTAGTACTGGTTTTAACCAGTTTTTAATTGGTTTGGTCCTCTTTACAATTTCAGTAACCTAATTTTCATCTTAAATATGCTTGGGCCCCAATTGTTAAACTAAAAAGTTGCAAAAATCAATGTTGTTGCTATCCATGTTTCCTTAAATATGTTTGTGTCTTGGGAAACTCGGGTGCAATCACTTGTGCTTTCAAAACTTGCCCAAGCACAGAATGCTTCAGGGCTGCAACTAACGATTAGTTTGGTAATTGATCAAACTACCAATACATTTTACGATTTAAACAATTAATTGGTTAGCTGTGAAAGGTGTTTGAAAATTATATTTTTTCAAACTTTTTCCCACTTAAGCTAAAGTGACACTACTGTAGGACATTTAAACTTAAAGTGAATGTTTGTTGAAGGTTCTTGGTGCTAATACTGTTTTCTGATTGAATGAGATAGAGAAAAATGTACAAAACATTGCATACCATAACTTTAAAAACAAAGTCGTTTTTTCATCAAAAATGTAACATTTTTATGTATTTTTTGTTCTATTTGAGTCTGAGTGTACCAGAAAACAATCAATCGATTACTAAAATAGTTGACTTTTACTATTACTATAATCTTAAACTAAATACTATAATCGCTTAGTTGTTTCAGCCCTACTTCAATAGCATAGTTTGTTTGCAAAAAGAGTGCAACCAAACTGCACAAATTCAAGTACTTTCATGTGAGCTGCTGTAGTGATAAAGTGTCCTTAGTTAGTTGCAAGTTACATCAAAGTTCTGTCAGTTTCACTGTTGAATGCTTTTATCCTGATCAATGAACAGAAGCAGCGATAGCTGGAATAATAGTAATAACAATAATGCCTTACACTTGTATTGCGGTTGTTATTCATTCACTCCATACTCGGTACTATGAAACCTTTTGTATTCTTACCTCTCCATATTAAATACACTGTGTTTTGGATAGACATGTGTAATACAAAATATGATTTTGTGATGTAATACAAAATAACATTTTATAATCATGTGTGAAACGTAAGGAAAATGCGTTAAATAGTGATCTTGATGGTCAGTAATGTGATTTAATAAAATGTAATGTGATTTAAGGTGATTTATGTAACATTATGCTAACTAGATTAAAGTTCATTTAAGTGTGTTAAAGTTCACGGCAAGGAAAGATCATATATGCTTAAGAACTGGGCCAAAGTTCAAGTAACTGGGTAAAAGTTCATTCCTTTGCGCAGCCTCGGTGCTAACTGGAGGAAAGTTCAAATAACTGGGTAAAAGTTAATTTCTCTGCGCAGCTTCTGTGCTATCTAGGGGAAAGTTCCAATAACTGGGGGACAGTTCATACGAGCAGGAGGACCAAATATGTACATCCTTCCTGCCATGACCATATATGCATTTCCTTCCTTGCCCATATATGTACATGTACTTCCTGAATGAGGTCAGCCTTAATGCTAAGGGGGCTTTCCGCTGCTTGAAGGCTGCATGCGCTATAAAAAGGAAGACTCGGAGAGAGTCAGTCAGTCGGGCAGCGCGCAGCGCAGACGAGAGCAGCCGGAGGCTTTCATTCAGGGGTCCTTGTGAGAGAGACTTGTGGCGCGAGACCTTTGTAACTCTGTAAACTTGGATTGACGATTTGCTTGCTTGGCCTTAAATAAAAGAGTCGCCCCGACTCACGAAAGACAGCTTTTCCGACTCCGCTTCACACTTTCTGAAAACCTTCCTTGAAGAACGCTTGGACAGGGCAGGGCGGCCCTAGGCTGAGGTGAGTAGTAAAAGTAGACTGATTTTGGTATATCGCACCTAGAGCTTCTGCTTCTCTACGGATTAGCCACACCAAGGGGAAAAACGTTAGGCAGGGACAAAACTTAGCTAGCCTTAGACCCAGCCCGAGGCAGGTCGGGACTAGCGCTACCAAAAGCCAGGCCCTACCAGGGAGTCTGCGTTATAGAGCAAGGTAAAGGCGCCTCCTAGGGTTAGATCCTGAAGAGACGCTGGTTCCTCACTCGCTCCGATTACAACATGTAAGCAAAGAAGATGATGATATTAAGCTGTATTGTTTGTACTGGGATTCTAATAACTTGTGATATTTCTTTTTCCAGGTTGCCAAGCAAGAAAAACTGCTCGGATGTTGTGGAAATGTAAGTTTTGTCAAGTTTCCTATCCAAAAAGAGGAAAATATGTTGTGCTATGGTTGGCAAGTTGCAAATACGTAATTTACACATCTTCACCTGTAGACCCATGATGATGTTGCCACCCGGACAGCGGTCTTGAAGTGCCTCCCATTGTATTTTGGAGACGATTGGGCTGAATTTGACAAAGTCAGCAATGTAAGTATTAGGCTAACTACATTTCCCTTCAAATTGTAAAAGACCAAATGCCAGATTAGGGCTGGGCAATGAATCAAATTTGATGAATTCATACTTTAAAAACAGACAATGTAGAAAATGGCTAAATCGTAAAATCGCGTCCGCCGCTCCATGTCCCCCTCACTTTTTCGGAAATAACACCAGTTGAATCCAGCGTCTTTGATCCCAACAATCTCTGCTGCTTCACAAAGGCTACGTGTTAGTGTTTTCGTAGTGCGTAGTTTTCCTCCAATAAAACCATAGTTTTTCCGGCCTGTTTCTCGCTCTTTCTCAATGAATTGAATGCAGCGTCTCGCACGCAGCTTAACTCTGCCCCTTGGTGGCAAAAATGTCCACCAGGCAACCCCGAAGCCAACTACAGAGACTTGATGCTGTTAGGGAAGTTTCTACCCAATGAAGGAGAAAACTCAAAGGTCCTTTGTCTGATCAAAAGCGTAAGTTTATTGTTAACGCACGTGCGGAGAGCCAGCACATACACTCAAAGGCAGCATGTACCAGCTCTGGGGCCAGAGCCCCGAGTTTCCTGTATTACAAGACACACACGAAAGACAGTCCCGCCCACAACAGATTGGAGGGGGCCACCGGTGAGGAGGCGCATGGGGAGCGTTTGGCGCCGTCTGGGATGGAGGTGCGAACAGACAGACAATGGTCATGCAGGATGTAGAGAGGCAGGCATACAGATGCGAAAGACACAAGGGTGTGACTGGCAGCAGGGGCCCTCACAAAGCTCAGCATGGCGTCAGAAGGTCGTCTCTGCCTTGATAAAAGGCCTTTGACGTCCGTGTATTAGCTGCGGCTGGTTTTATGTAATTACTCCAAAAACTGTCACCACACTCCCCTCTTTTGATAATTCAAAACCATTTTTGCATTAATCAGTTAAATACCAGAGGCATCGTAATCACACCACCTTCAAGCTTGAAACACTTAAATTATTGCTGTCCAAAGTGGACAAGAAAAGAAACATGCTTGTCAATAAAAGAAAGAGCACATTATAATAACACAATGGATCCGGACAGCGATAAGAGAAGACAATATTAACATAATAAACACGGTCAGCACGGAAAGTAGTGTCAGTGTGGCCAGCATAACAGTCCAAGGGCCCATGCCGGTCTTAGCCGGGCTACGTTCGGTAGTCTTTTCCGCGGGAATACTCACGAGCAGTGCCGTCTCGCAGTCAGTGGCACCGCTCCCTATGAGCGTGTGTGGAGCGTTAGTGGTCATGGCGATGTTTGGTCTTGGAGCGGCAAGACTCTAATTGCGTTGAAGCCTTGGCCTCAGCACTCGGTTGGGCAGAGTGCTCGGGGTTTGGGGTGTGGAGACCATGGCTTGAGCACGCTCCAGATCGGCCAGGCCCAAAGCTCGTTTGATGGGAGACCTCATGACAGCACGCTTCACCATGTGCCTCATCAGGAACTGTAGAGCAGCCCTCATCTCCACCTCCTCCGGACACACGGGAGACGAGACACCAGGGGGCACTCCAGCAGAGCTCAAATCTGCATTATGGCCAGAGGGAGCAAGCTCTGGAGAAATCTTTGGAATGGGCAGCAGCTCTGCATACTTGCTGCAGCTGAGCAGAGCGCTCAGGGCCTTCATGGCTCCCAAGCCTTGGGATCCGGGGGCTGGGGAGTTGGGCAGAAGGGGGGTCGCCTCGGGAACGCTGGGATTCTCTGGGTGTTGTTGTTGGCCTGCTTCACCGACGGTGGCCGCACGCCGGCCGACTTCTTCAGCGTAGGGAGCCGCGGATGGGCCTGGTCCGTCCGCGCCCTCGGTGTCCTCGTCTATGGCCCTCAGTGGCAGCACCGCACGACAGTGGTTGGCGTGGATCCAAGTTGTCCTCTCCGCGACCTTAACGGCAGTGTCCGTCACCAGGAGGGCGAGGAATGGGCCGAGCCAGCGCTTGGACCGCCAGTGCTTTCGTCTCGTTTCCTTCACCAGGACCCAGTCGCCTGCGCAGCCTGTGGCAGGGCGCTCCTGACCTGGGCAGAAATAGAGGACAAAAGTGCATTAATTTCCTTACAATAGGACAGCATGTCGTCATCACACAAAGAGGTGCTTGGCAGATCTCTGTTCGGGGGTCCCGCGCCCAACGTGGGGTTAGCGGCAGAGCTTTGAGTGCCATTCTCTCGCTCGCACGTGCCTCCGGACCAGGGGGCGTAACTGCAGTGTTTACATATATCAATGCCCAGAAATTCACCCACTTCCTCAATGACTTTTGCTACAAAGTGACTGCCATTGTCCCTAGAGATTTTCCCTCGGGACACCCCATCGTGGCACAATTTCTGTGAGCAGAGCTTTCACCACCGCGTTGCTCGTGGCGTGTATGCCTGCAAATACTTCAGTCCATTTGGACCAGAGATCCGCCAGACCCAGACAGTATTACTTACCTTGGCATGGTGTGAGTTCAACAAAGTCCCTTTGGACATGTTGAAATGGGCGCAGGGGCGGAGGATGAGCAGCCTGTTGGATACTTTTGGGACTTACCTGGGTTGTGCGCGAGGCATATAGCGCATGTTTGGCTGAATCTCTGTGCAAATGCCGTAAACCCCTTTGTATACCAATTTTGTGTGATTAAATCACACATCATCCCTCCTTTTGAGGCATGGTCTCGACCATGTGCTAAAATTGCAAACTGTCTGAAGAAATGCCGTGGTAGGCACGGTTTGCTGTCTGGTCCCAGCCACACACACCATGCCGTCGTTGAGCCCCATTCCCCTCCCACAGCAGCATCTCTGCTGGAGTAGAAAATATCAACGTCTTGAGTGAGGTAGTGTGTGTGTAGATTTGCTGTTCCGTTCATCTCCAGTTGCTTTTCTCCCGGATCGTCCTCAATTCATATTGTGGGCTTTTGTGCCAAAGTGGAGGCTCATTTCCTCCTGATCCATACTACTGTCATCCCTGAAGCAGGGGTAGTTTATCTCTCATCTGAAAAAGAAATATCAGAACACAAAAAAAAACACAAAAAATGCCCACTTTCGCTTGTCAATCTTTTTTCCAATTGGGCAAAACATAACTGCATTGACAGACGGTGTGTGGCATCAGGGCGGAGGCTGTAGCCAGATACAGAACAACAAAATGTATGTTTCTAATTTTATACTCCCCTAAATGTGAGTTTACCAACCAAAGTTGTCCTTCAACCACCGACAGCTCACTGCGGTTGGACCGAATCACTGTCAGGGCAAACAGCAGAGGGAGGAACTCCCAATATCTTCAGCGAGGTATTTCATCTCCGAGTACTTTCCGCAGAGTACTTTTCTCAGAGTACTCATCCCAGAGTACTCTCACTTTTACACCTGTTCAATAAAGGTCGTTATCTTTGAATCTCTAGTACTTACACCGTATGCTGTTGACAAAAAAATAATTATTCCATGATCACATTAAAACATTACAGACACATTTGTTATTCCATGATTCCGTTCAGCATTCCTCATTTCACACACCACACTCACATCACACTCATATCACAGTCACATCACAGGCCGATTCCCCACGTTAGTATTGGTCCAGAGTTTGTTAAGGTCAACGTAGTGTACTTTGACATGACACACAAACATATAACATACACAAAACATATAACACACAAACATTTAACACACACAGAAGGCCTGTAATTTTAACTTTGTTATATTTTCCATGTCCAATTACAATTGTCTCATGAGCTATTTATATTGTTGCAACTTTCAGAGCCTGCAGAACATGCAAAGCTTTTTAAGAGATTTTTCCTAAAAAAAAGAAATCCATTTCCAACTTTAGTGTTTACCACGTGGTCTATACTCGGGCTTATCACAGATTGTGTCCCCTATATCTCTAATGAGCTCTTGTCACCTTAAAAATGTTTATTTTCCTTATTTTTTCTTTTTCAATAAAGCCAGGTCGGATTCATTAAAAATGTAAATTAGTCTCAAACTTTAATACTTCACCTTTGTTTCACGATAAAAATGTTTTTGTTGCTCATTAAGTAGCACAGATAGTGGTGCCTATCTCAATAAACGTACTCCGTTAGCCTATCTTCCCTACACTGCATGAATTTTCAAACTCCAAGTTATTGTCTGGGAACGACCGGAGAGAGCAGCTTAGGTCGTTCGCGTGGTTGACCTCCAAATTTTGTGCGGGCGTAACTCTATTCACTTGTTGTGGCTAATAGCTTAGCAATCTCAGGGTTTGGTGTCAATTTCCAGTGGTAGTTAACTTTTGGGACCGGTGTCTCCTCATGCATGCCGGTGAAACATGGAGCATTTGCTAGCTCACCAGCGTGTACCACCCGTAGGCCGCTTGGTGTTGAGAGCAGATTTAAATTGAGTCTGCACATAAGGTCTCGGCCTAGTAGATTAACCGGGCACAATGGGGAATATAGAAAAGAATGTTTAAGCTGGTTGCCCTGAGAATCAAAACACGTTAGCGGTGACGTAAATTGCTCTTTGGTCGTCTCTCCCCCCCCCGCTGCTAATGAGAATGTGAAGCGGCCACTCATTTTAGGGGGAGACAGAAAGGCTGTCACTTTTAGCACAGAATTTGTTGCCCCGGAGTCATCCAGAATTTTAACTTGTACACCACAGATTGTTAGCGTATATTACGGGCATGAATTATCTCTAAAAAGTGCCAATTGCAATTTGTTGTTGTTCAACTTACATGAGCGGTCGCTTTGGTGACGAATGTGAACCCGGGTTTGGTCAGTCGCTCGTGTTTCCTCCGTGCCCGCCTCTGCCGTCCTCTGGCCCCGTGTTAGCTTGAGCGTTCCTCTGCCTTTAACGCCTCCTCCGGTAACAGTCCTTCGACCCATGTCGAGCACACAGTCTTTCCGCCGGGCTGTGGAAGTTTTTCAAAGTCCGCAGGAGGCCCAGGTAGCCCAAAGCGTTAGCATGTGGTCCATGAGGGTTGGTGAATAACCCAAACGTGCCGGTCACAATG